ACATTTATTATTATATTTAGTGTTGAAAACAGTTCTGCTGCATAATATTTTTGTGGAAACCGTGATTTTGTTTCTCTTCAGGATTCTTTGATGAATAGAACTTTCAAAAGAACTGCATTTTATTTACATTATAATCATTATAAAATGTCTTCACTGTCACTTTTAATCCATTTATTGCATCCTTGCTGAATAAAAGTATTAATTTATGTTAAAAAATCTTACTGACCCCAAACTTTTAGTTTAACAGTAGTCTAAAAAATAGTGAGGCAAGTGGCAGTTCTCTTGAGAAAATGCAAGAATCGGTTTTTGTTTTTTCTCTCTCTCTCTCTCTCCCTGAAGTTCAGTCTATTGAAATTAGTCAATTTGTTTACTTTATATTCAAGATAAAAGACTGACCGTAAGCGAGAAAAAGCACTGGGCAAGTACAAGTGAAGGATGTTGAGTTTGCTTGAGGGAGAACACTTAAAAAATGTTTTAAGAGCTTAAAATTTCAGCTGAGAACAGATGCCCTGAGGATCAGGTCCAACACTATCAAAGTTCAGGCAGTAATGATGGATCTTACCAGCGAAACGCGAAAGCCCCTAGGAACCAAAATGCATGAAACTCTTTAACAAGGTACCAGTGAAGATTCAACAAATATTAAGGTAGAATAAATGTACCAGTAATAGAACACAATTCAAATACTCCGGCAAAGCCCCGCAGCACTAAAAGACAACTCGGCAGCTCGGCGAAGTATAATGCAACCGCGCTATCATACTTGTACGCTAATAGACTGTGACGTACTGTTCCATTAGATTACTCTCTCTCAAGCTGTTCTTTCCAATCTGCTTCAAATCTAGAGTCAGACAGTGAACATGCCGGCTGTGTGGCCCGTCCATGTAAGGTCTCCAGCGACAGCAAACTGAACCTGCCACCTGAGGTGAACTAGCCTGAGGCGAAGTTCTCGTGTGATATTATTCATTCCAGCGGTGGACAAAAGCAAACACCGATGCAGCAGCTTGAGGTCGGTTTATTATTTTTTAGATATTGTAGTCCTATAAACATTTGATTTCGGTAAAGGAGGAGCTGAATGCTCTCGATGAGAAGGCCAACTCCATTGACGAGACAGAAGCCTGTTATAGTGACAGTCTGAGGAGACAGAACATAAGTAAACGTCAGGCGTTTTCTCAAAGCTGTGAATATTTAGGGAGACACCTGCCTGCAAGCATTTGTCATCCTCAAGGCATTTTGGTATTGTCAGTTTATCTTCCAAAAATTATTTCGCTCTGTTTTCAGCTCAAAGGAACTGAAAAACCCTGAGCATCTTCTGGAGGATGAGTCTGGTTCAAAGACTCGAAGACATTGGGTGGTGGATCTCCAGGGAGAAGTTGACATGCTGAAGACAGGAAATGCAGGTAAATCAGATTCTGCTACATCTTTATTAAACAGATCACCTCTTTCTTATATCCTGAGATCCAGGGGCAAAAACCTAATTAGAAAGAAACTGGAACAAAACAAAATCGTGTTATATGACAGAACCTAGACAGAATTAATGATTTGAGATGAGTCGGTCTGAGGAGCTGACAGTCCCGAAAAATCTTCATGACAAGTCAAACTTGGTTAGAGAGCTGAAAGCTTTTGCGATGGATAAGTGGTCTGAATGATGTATTGTAAGCGTATGTCCTCATACTGAATGTATTTTACTCCCACATGTCTCACAGTTACTAAAGAATCAGACAGTATTCGTTCAGTCATTCGTTTTTTTTTTGTATTCAAAACGGAATGCATTGAAATATAATAAAGAAATGCAATTTGTCATCTCATATTTCTTGACATTTTCAATTCACTGATTTTAAAATACTGGGCACCTTTTAAAATGGAAAATGAAATGTTCTTGTTATTTAGGCATCCATCTGTCCTTAATCACAGTACTTACAAATAAAATAAGTGCTTCTGCTGATATTCAGAGTCACAGTGTCAAGTGACTCCTGTGGTGGAATGAATCAATGATTTAGAGATAATCTCTAAACACATTCAGCAAAACCTCTGCACTCGGAGCTGTCATTTAAAAGTCAATGCTTCTACTACAAGTGCCAGTGTAGAAGAACAGATGATTCTGACAGGGACAGTAATGTGAAAGGATGTCTAAAGGTCACTGCAAACTTTTCGAACAAAACTAAAGCTCCAGCTACGGATGCACAATATTATGGTATTATAATAGTAAAAAGGATTGTAGATTTTATTTAATATGGTATTTATAATATTTAATGAAACATCCTAAACTAATTTATAGTACATAACTTATAATGTAATATTTATATATTTTTTAATATTTATTTTGTGCATGATTGTTTCTCCTATTCTCCCATTTAATTATTGGCCTTGACCATTCATTAAAAGAACTACCAGCTCAGATTTTTATATTGTTGCATCTCTAGATTTAAGACTAATAAATCATAACATAGCACTAACCCAAAACCCAACCGTCAGTTTTACCAAATGAAACAAGATAATTTTTTGCAAATACTACTGAATAACGGATTATATTAAGTAGAACTGAATGAGGCAGGTTTCATTTTCCCAGCATGCTTTGCTTCAGACTATTAAAGGAGAGTAAATGTTGAAATTAAGTGTTATTATGTGCTTGGGCACAAGATGAATATAGGGGGAGATCATTTAATATGAAGAAATATTCTCTTTTTGTGGACTCAAATGGAATAAGTTTACACTCATAAATATTGGTTTTTAAACTTAAATGGTTTAAAGGCAATCAGTTTCCTCGGATGGTTTGAGTTAACTCATTGGCTTTTACAGCCCACAAAAACACTAGGAACTTTCTTAATAGCATCTTGTGTGCGTACAAAACATAGGCTATAGATTTATTATAGATGTTCTTACCCAGTGGTTCATTTTAGCTCAGATGCGCAACAAGATTTGTGACTTAGCTCGTGTAATTATTTCAACAAAACATTTTAAAAAACCGTGCACTACCAAATATTTTATTTAGCCACCTTACTGATAATCATAATAAGATTCTACTGAAATGTAATGTGCGTGTCTTAATATCTGGTATATCTCATCTATAACCAGCCACCAAAGAACCTGTGTGCTTAATATGCTCATGAAGTCTCTTGCCTGAAGAATACAATGATTAATTGGCAACATTAGGCCCCTTTTTGGGACTTATTCAACTAAAGACTTTTACATACTAACTGCAGTTTAAAATCTGCCTATTTTGTGGGTATATATAGCAATAGTTTCGGCCCAGATCCATCAGAGTGCATCACCTGAAGCACGCCGTTCTCAATGGGAATATGGTGATAGCTGTATTAAGCCGTGTGCTACACTGAAGGCCTTAGAGCTCTTGACTAATAGGCTGCAGAAACATTCATGTGAGAAAGTCAGAACCAAACGTGTGTAGAAATTAGTTCATTAGGCCATTAAAGTTACTTGATACTCATTATCGCCCAAACATGCATAAAGCAATAAAGTTAAACAAAACTGTCAAACCATAATGCAGCTGCATTTACTTGGTATTAAATGTGAAAAAAATTAAAAATAATAATGCAACTTCAATTGAATGGCTTACGTAGCATTAAATGCTTAAGCTCAAGGTACTGGATGAGTTTTCCAGCTCTGGTTAGAGGAGTTAGGAGAAGGTGGCCTGTAGAGAGAGGTTGGAAATCCAAAGAGTAGTAGAAGTCATTGTATTTTCTCCCACTGTGTAAACTGGATTTTTTTTTACTCTAGTTTTCCCATCTCCAAGCAGCATTTGTAACTGCCATGACAAGACCATGCATAATTTAAACTGCACAAAACTACCTGCAGATACGTTGGAAGTTTGGGTGGCCGAAGGGAGCCGGTGGAGTGCTTGAGAAACCAATTTTTCAATTCCTTTTGGTGCTGCATTTTTAATTCCATTTCTAAACCACTAGAATCTCCACTGGTTGAGTCAACATTGCTATGTGGAGCTGGTCGGGATTCTCAAGAGTGCAGGAGTTATACTTTAAAAAAAAAAACCAAAAAAAAAAACAAAAAGGGATAGATTACCCAAAAATACAAATCTGCTGAAAATGTGCTCATCCACAGGCCATCCAAGATGTAGAAGAGTTTGTTTTGGATAGACTTGCTCCCCAATGGATCCTCTGCAGTGAATGGGTGCCATCAGAATGAGAGTCCAAACTGATGATAAAAACATAACGATAATCCACAATCCACAACGTCTTGTTTTTAATGTAAAGTTAATTTAATTTAAAATTTGTAAATCAAGACATCTTTATCTTTCAATAAGAGTCCTCCATCCATAATATTTTTTTCCAGTGAAAGTAATCTTGTCTGATTTAGGAGAGAAATATGCACAGATCAAGCACAAGCAAAAACAGACCAAAACAGTTCTAAACAAATATGCTGGTGGATTTTGATGTTAGAGGAAAAGAGGGGATAGACTTTTTCACTGGAGGAAGCATTATTACGGATTATGGTATTTTGACCAGTAGTAAACCATTAAAATGCCTTAATGATGGATTTGTTTCTTACAAACATGCAGCATTTCTTAGAAACGCATAGCTTTTCTTTTCACATGATGTTAATTGATGGGCTGGAGTCGTATTAATTACTTGTGGATTATTGTGATGTTTCTATCAGCTGTTTGGACTCATTCTGACGGCACCCATTCACTGCAGAGGATCCAGTGGGGAGCAAGTGATGTAATGCTAAATTTCTAAAAGCTCACCTACATCTTGGAAGGCCTTAGGGCGAGTACATTTTTGGCAAATTGTAATTTTTGGGTGAACTATTCATTTAGGGAAATTAAAATATAAATGGCTTACTTATATAGTTGTTTCTGCATGCTACATTAAATGACTAAATTAATACATTAAAAGTAAGTAGTTTAACAATGAAATCACCCAGCAATACTTAATATAGATGTATTAAAAGCTCAAGTAGTGTCAGCCTGGAATGTAATAAATATTGGCCGCATAAAGACAGTCACAAACCATTTAGTGGTTTCTTTTTTGTTCTCTTTTATTAAGCTTGAGGGCTTTATAAAAGGCTTTTAAATGTCTCAGTAGGTTTAAATACAACAAGCTCAAGCTCCTTGAAAAATCAACATCTTTAAGGAAATTAAATGACATTGAATCTATTACAGAGTTCATTTGAAATTCAAGTCTTGAAGAAAAGATCTTCTCCCAACCTGGAATACAAAAAGAGGACATAGAATCACAAACATTCAATAGGCACTTCCAACATATCCTTGCATTTAAGCACAGCCTACCTGGTACTTCCCCAGTCACCTGCCAGGTTGTCGGCTACACTGCGCAACATCCAGAACGTTTTCAGCACTTGTTCACCGTCACGTAAAATAAAACACTGACCGAGCCAAGCAGAACATGAACCTGCAGATATGCACATATTTTGTCACATCATTATAGCATTGTGTTCTAACCAAAGCCAACACAGAACTTAACAGCGGTCGCTTGCAAGGTAACCATAGTTTCTGACAAATTACCACAGTTACTAGCAGGAAGTGAGAAACTGTGTTGCTTGTTTAAACCCTGCTGGTAAATGCAGTAGCTACATCATTATGCTGTCAAAAAGCTTTCTCCACTGACATCCATTCAAAAGTAACCACACATCTTTAGTAATAAAAAAAAAAAGGTAATTTTGCAATTTGGTTACCATGGTACATTTTTCTAAAGGGTATTGGTATTGAGTCATTCTATAAAAGGTGGCATTTCCATTTGAATTTTTCAGAAAATAAACTCCAGGTGTCAAAGCTACAGTGCACAACTTTGCGCTATTAATTTACCTTATTTCGAATGCAACAAAATTACCATTAATTTACCACTGGCTGGCTTGTTTTCATATCGGTGATGTTGTAACTAATTAAAAACTAATAGGAAGCAGTATCAGTGCTGACAAATTTTGATTAAAAACAAATTTGAGAAAACTAACATTAATCTTTTTTTTTTTTTTTACATATTAAGCATTTTTATTTAACAACTGAGAAATGACTCAAGTGAAAAATGAGAGAAACCACATTAAAAATAGCACATTTCCACATGCATAGTTTCATGCTGTATACAGACTTAAAAATAACAAATGTAAACACTAAAGCAGGTTAAAAATGTTTTAGTACACATTTGTGACCCTGGACCACAAAACCAGTCATAAGTAGCACAGGTATATTTGTAAAAATAGCCAACAATACATTGTATCTGTCAAAATTATCGTAATTTTTTTCGCCAAAAATCATTAGGGTATTAAGTAAAGATCATGTTTCATGAAGATATTTTGTAAATTTCCTACCATAAATCTCAACTTAACTTTTGATTAGTAATATGCATTGCTAAGGACTTCATTTGGACAACTTTGGACAACTATTTTCTCAATATTTCGATTTTTTGCACCCTTAAATTCCAGATTTTCAAATAGTTCAGCTCAATCAATATTGTCCTATCCTAACAGCATGTCAATGGAAAGCTTATTGATGTATAAATCTCAATTTCAAAAAATTATGACTGGTTTTGTGGTCCTGGATCACATATTGTAACGTTACGGTGTACATTAGCCATCTTAAAATTGGTGACAACATCTGCCAACTGAAATATGTAGCTATTAAACAAGTAAATAGAATTACCAGGGTCTCTTTGTATGTCAGTCATTCTTGAGACATGGGACAAAACAGGTCTAGCAAGGGTAACTGCTATTAGGTTTAAAAATAAAAATATTTTCAATTTTAAATGTCATGAGGGATTAAAAATAGGATGTATTTAACAATTATCACCTTCAATTTAATTCTCATTATTATACCAAATCTAGGTTTCTTAAATGTCCTCTCACTACGTCTAAAATCACCACCATAAGATCTTGTGTTCCAATGATATATCAAAATACTTAAATGTGACTCTTGAATAAAAGCTTTATAAACAATAACATACTCACTGTTTGTTTTAATACAGTAATTGACTGATTCAATGTATTTGATAGTTAAAATGACTACAAATTCAGGTTTTCGTCACCTCCGTCAGATGTGTCAATGCCGTCAGTTCTATCACCTCCATCAGTTGAATATTTTGATAATATTTCATTATGATATTTTATATTTGTTGTGGAATTATTGGTCACATGTGAAAGTGTAATCTGTCTGCTAACACGAGAATGTGTTTTGAAATGTTAAAAAACATCCTGAATGCTGTTAAAGATAAAGCTGAAATTATATTACACAGTCCAAGCTAAAAAAAAAAAAGCACATTTTGTTAAATAAAAAAAAGAGAAAAGTTGGGAGGTTGTATCAAAGCATAGCTCAGTAGCTTAGTACATATAAGATACATAAATATAGTTTCATTTGTCGGAGTACAAGGTTTTATTTTTTCAATTTTGCACCCTGTTTTGCCCCACTCCTCAAGAATGACTGATTTATTTAAACAGTACTGGGATAAATTCTAAATTACCAAACTATTAATTCGTCGCAGATATATGGGAATAGTAGGCTATACTAAAGTCTGAGGCATACAGAGCTAAAATAACAGTTACAGTGTTACATTCACAGGTTCTCCCTAACTAGGGAAGTAGGCTATTGTTCAAACGTTTGATCAAACAGTCTGGTAACGTTACCGTGTTTGACACGTTATGACGGTCTAGTATGGTTGTAGCATGTCTCTGGTTAAGCACACTTTACCTTTCTCCCACAGCACGGAGAATGAAACGGCAGGTTGAGTCCCGTTACCAACTACCCCGATGATCTGTGCAGTGCGGTGTAAACCGGCGGCGCCGCGCGTGCTCTCCACTGCGGTCTGATACACACCTCTGACCTCTGAACCCTCTGCTTTCACACGGAGCGTGGAGCCCAGCTCATTGCTCCAAACGCCCGTAATATTACAAGAACTGACCTTCGGTGATCAAACGATTATTTTAATTAGGCTAGCATGCATGACAAAATCAGGATATGGATTCGTAATTTCTCTACGCTTAAAAGTCAAATACCTTCATATCCAGCGTTGAAGACTCGTTTGCAGACACCGTTCGAGAGGTGATCAAAGTCACAAAAACCGAATACCACATTAATGAGCTCATCTTGGTTCAAAACTGTGGGACACAGTGGGTCATGTTTCACGCTTCACCCTGCCTAAAGTAATCTAGTTAATTAATTTGCATATGCAGGTAATCCTATTATTGGTCGTATTTAAATTAGGGTTGCCTTTTTCTTTTTCCCTTATTGGAAACTACTACTTAGAATGACCAGAGGGAGGCAGTGTTGACTCAAAATATACATATTTAATAAGCTTAGACCAGTGTTTCCCAACCGGGGTGCCTTCTGTCGAGAGCAAAAAAATCCTTTTTTAATATTTTTAAATTGCTAAAATGTTCAAAAAAGCAGCTATTATATAATATCAATTTCTGATGTAGCCAATAATTAGAGATGCACTGAAATGCCGGCTGCCGCACATTAGTTCACCGCTCAAGATGGCGTGTGCTACTGCAACAAAATTACCCAGCTGTAAAATCAAAAATACACTGAGTGAGCAACACTTTGTTTAATTACCATTATAACTAGCTATCTCACAATGTTTACATATGAATAAAAGCCTACATTAAAATCTGTCATATAAATTGGTCTCTTCATTAGAAATTAGCCTACCGATTGCCACCATTGATGGACACATTTTTTTTATAATATTAAAAATATCTGTATGACATTATATTCTGCAGTTCTTCCCTGCTGTACCGAATATCTATACTTTTCAAAGTATCATATCGAAGTTAGAAATTCAAATATTGTGACAAAATTAATTTTGTAGGGTGCCACAAATTTGTTACAATTTCCAAAGGGTGCCGCGACTAAAAAAAGGTTGGGAAACACTGGCTTAGACAATATAAAATGACTGCGTGTTGTATGATGATTTGTTAACTGATTATCCAACAGTCGGGGTTAGTTTTTACGCTTTTTACGCCAGCAAATATCTCTCATTGTATGTTTTTTTGTTTTTTTTTGAAAGTCATTTTGTATATGGTTACATATCTGTAACAAATTTCTAGATGATTACATATAGTATAAGTCTTTAAAAATATTTAACATTTCCACCCTTATTTCTCAACAGATCGTGGAATATAGGCCTACTGTTCAAAAGTTCGGGGTCAGTAAGTTGTTGTTTTTTTAAGGAAATTAATACATTTATTTAGAAAGGCTGCATTAAATTATTCAAAAGTGGTAATGCCACCATTTATAATGTTGCAAAAAAATTATATTTCAAATAACTGCTGTTCATTTGAAATGTGTATTAATCAAAGAATCCTAATGAAAGAAAATGTATAAAACTTCTTCTTTTTTTTTTTAAGTGTCTTGAGCAGCAAATCAGCATATTAGAATGATTTCTGAAGGATCATGTGACACTGAAGACTGATGCTGAAAATTCTGCTTTGCATCACAGGAATAAATCATATTATAAATTATATTTAAAAAAAAGAAAACAGTTCTTTTAAATTGTAATAATATTTCACAAGATTGCTGTGTTACTGTATTTTTGATCAAATAAATGCAGCCTTGGTGAGAATAAGAGACTTCTTTCAAAAACATTCAATATTTTACTGGCGCCAAACTTATGAAAAGCAGTGTGTGACTTTATCACACTATGTGGGGTAAGTTGTCACAATGGAACCTGCCATTAAACAGCCAATTTTAGGCTTCAGCTAATTTGAAACAGTAACACAGTTAACAAAAAATCTGAATTGTAAATGCAAAAATGCAGGTGGCATACAATAAGAATGAATGCTCCCAAAGTCTGTAATAATTATCTTCCAATGCCATTTTTTTATTCCCAGTACATCTGGTATTTTATGTGAGCATGCCTCAGCTGATTTGAAAGTATATGCTTCAGCTGTTGGAGAAAATCTTCCTCTTATGACTCAGCAAGTAAACATTGTGTGAAATGACAGGTTACTCCAGGCTGCTGCACGGCCTTGTGTGCCATTAATGGTTTTTCACTCAACAGCTGCAGAGAGGAAGCAACACTCATGTGGCATTTCAGAGAGCATTATGTTATGTGCTCATTATATTTGTTCAGAGACACTAAAGCTTTTTATTTCACTTTTTTCTTTTTTCCATTTTTCAGGGAACTGCTACACGCTTCTGTGTATTTGGATAGGCCAGAGTTTGTATAGATGAAATCACATGTGAGTAACAGCAGTGGTCCTCTGGTATGTTTTATTTATTTTTAAACGTGATATTGCTGCATAAAAATACCTGCTTTCCTGCATATATAAATATGTACAAGTTTTTGGGAGGCTAGAGAGCTGAAGATTGATGTGTAAATATTAATAGAAGTTGCAGCTTGTGCCTGGAGTGGCCTGATTTTTTTGTTTTTTTCTGTCACTCGTGTTTTGGAAGAACAGGTGTGTGTATCTTTGTACCTTTGCTCTCTTTCTTCTCTGAAAGGATTATTGAGTCGCTTGGGTGATGGTTGCATCAGTAATCCCTGTCCCATTGGACACAATTGCTAGTTTAATAACAAACTCCAAAGTACACAGGAAAGGAAAAATGTGTATATAGATTTTTTTTTTTTTACTGGGCAAAATCTTTAGGTCAGTGGAAAATATTTAAAGAATCTGAATGGAAAATCAAAAATGGATTGAAATTATTATTATTATTATTATTATTATTATTATTATTATTATTATCAACGTTGAAAACAGTTGTGGTGCTTAATTCTTTTATTTTATTTATTTATTTTGAAAACATGAAAACATTTTTGAAAACATTTTCCAGGATTCTTTGATGAATAGAAAGATCAAAAGTGTAGCATCTGCTTAATACATCTTTTCTCTGTCATCTAATGTAATTTAATGCATGAATGCTGAATACATAATAATAATAATAACAACAGAGTGCATTGCGGCAGAATAAATTATGCAGTTGCTTTGTTTTACAGTTGTTGATTTTATTTGGCAATTTTATTTGCTGTCTTGTGTCAGTAGTAGCACAACAAAAAGAGCAAATAAAATAGTTATTGTTACAAGTAATGAAAATAAATGAAATTGAATTGTTTCCATTGTTGTGATTCACGTGCTGAATGTTTAAATCTGTGTGTGACTTTAGCATGTTACCACACACGATTTTCCTTCGTTTGAAATCAAATAACTCTGACTTCATAATGCATTACTGCATTAACAGGAAGTAAATTATAGTAATGTAAAGCAAGTTCAAAGTGCCCAACCAAAGAGAACGCTAATCACTATAATAGTGAGTAAAAAAAAAAAAAAAACATTTTAGGAAAATCAACATCAATTTATGAAACTGCAGCCTCCGGTTGTGCAGGTGCAGGAACATACTATTGTTTATTTGCCTTGAAAGTAGCTGTAACTTAATAAAACCTAGTAAGTATAACAACTAAGTAAAGATAACTAACTAAATCTAAGTAAGGTAAACTATTGGATTTTACAGTGCACTTTAAAGCTATTAAATATATATTTTAACATATAACTATTAAAAAATACAATTATTTCTTTTTCATCCTGGGATCAGAAAATGTCCCCAGCTGAACTCTGTTTAAATCCAGTTGTGTGTGGGAAGAACTGACAGCAATAAATCTATCAGTGACAAGATTACAGTGCTGGTTGTTCTAAAACACTCTTTATGTCTTTCTTTCTCACTGTTTGTCATTCACTCAACCAAAACAGTGGGGAAAATCCTGTAAATGTCCTCTCATAACCTTCCTTCATCTCACCCACACTCCTATCCCAACATCTGCTGCATGAGATCCTACTGGAACATTTCTTCTCTGATTGACACCTCTATTTCCCCAAAGGCAGAATAATCTTCTAGAGATACTGTCTGAGCAGCACATTGTACCTGTGGGGAAAGACATTGACAAACTCGGCTATTCATTACACAATATCGATCAAGTCTGGACTGAGATTATTTGCAGTTAATGCATGATTTGATGGGATGTAGTATTTGGAGTCTTTGGGTTGTACATGAAGATTGCTTTCGTTTCTTTGCATTGCATCAGTTGGCTTCATCTCACAGTTACTTTGAATTCTAATCTCTGACATAACACAATTAAGTTTGCGAGTCATATGAGACGAGATGAGTTGGGCCAGACCTCAGAGAAAGATCTCCTTGCATGAAGCCTTTGATGAGCTTCAAAGCACCTCAAAAGGTGATCTGCTGCAGTACATCCAACAGCTGCTTTACATTTAGCATGGAGGGGTTTCAAATCTCAAACTGTGCATTTGTGGTTTGATGCTGATGTTCAAATGTACCATGTTCTGGAATTGCATTTTAATGAAACACTGTAGGAGAGACCGGGGCTTATTGTCACACAGTACTGTATATCTCAAAGCACGTGAAGGTCCAATTATCCAAATTCTTGTTCTCTCTCTAGCAGTGATGTTAGTATCAAACACCTAATTCAAAACAGTCGTAAAATAAAACATTTTCTTTTGTTAATTCTATCCCATAAACAAAATGTCTGTAATGTACTATTATTAGGGCTGTCCCCTAATAGTCGACGACCAGAAAAGGCTTGGTCGACCAATTTTTTTTTAGTCACTTAGTCGCAGAAAAAAAAAAAATCCACAGGCGAAGTCACGCAGCCCGGACAGATCGTTAATGGCTGGTCTAGTAATACAGTGCATCGGGCAGGACATCCAAACGCTCGCCTATCATTCATCGACCTCAAATATTGCTTATCATCTGAATGTAAGTATTAGCAACTTTACATGGCCGCTCAATCTAATGCCAGGCTAACCTAGAAAAATGTGTGCTATATTCAAGTGTCTGCGCGGAGTGTAGAAGCGCGCTCACTGCAGGACAGATGAAGGCGCCGGTGCAGTCACTTGCTCTTAAAATACTCCGTAATTTCTGGCCATACAGATAAGAGTAATACATCTTTCGAATCTGTAAAGACTATGTTTATTTATGTGCACTCACAATAACAACAAAACATTACGCTTTTGTAAAATAATGAAAGCAAACAGGATGCGCTTTCTGCCGTCTCTGTGAACTTGAGCGCTAAACTCCGAAACTCTGTGTATATCTTTGCATTACAGACATGAAACAATATCAATGGAGAGAAATGTCTACTTTCAAATTAACCAATTCAAATATAAAACAAATATTCTA